GGGTAACAACCGGACCACTTAAGGTTGCCCGGTATCGGATCACTTAAGGTCGTCCGATCAAAAATCAAAACGACCCCAAGTAGGGTAACGACTGGATCACTTAGAGTCGTCCAATCAAGATTGAAGCGGCATGAAGATATCGAGCGACGGAAACATAAAATACCACACTTAGTTTATTTTCCATACACAAGGAGATCACACAAATACTCGAACCCTACAGGGAATAAACCATCCCCGGGCTCAGAACACACTAACATTCAGAAATGCAAATTAAGATAAGTTGTTCGAAACAACAAGCAACATACGCAAACATACTTAAAGAAAAGAGATAGAAATAGCAACTAGAAAGTGTCCGAAAGTCAATGGGGGGTGGCTATTCGTTCCCAGCATCCTCATCATTTTCGCCTGTTCCCTCACCTTGACGGTCGGGAGAGTGGCTCGGACCGGCCCCGGTCGTATCCGCGGTGGATTTGGAAAAGGCGGAGTCCATCAGACGGCTGTCGTAGGTTTTTTCATCGTCATCCGCAATCACGGCCGAAATCTTCATCTCCTCGGGCAGAGCCAGCCGCTCGAATTTGATATCACGAATAGCCTCGAGGTCCTTCAAAGTCTTCCCTCCATCCTTCATCGCGTGGATAACCCAGTTCAGTCCGAGCGCCGCGTTCAAGTCCATGTCAGCCAGGAATTTGTCCGTCTTGTTGTACTCTTGCAACCCAGCCAAACGGCCCCTCTCGAAGCCGTCTTCATACGAGCCGCAGGATTGTCCCGCTCCCTCCAACTCGGACCGGAGTCTTTTCTGTTCGGCCAGCACTGTGTCCCTTTCCCGCTCGGCCGCAGCAAGTTTCCGGACGGCCTCCTCAGCATTCAATTTCGCCGCGGTAAGTTCCTTTTCGGCCTCGGCCAGCTGCTTTTTGGCATTGTCTGCCTGTTCAATCAGCCTCACTTCCTCCAATTGAACCACCTTCAGTTCACCTTCAAGTTCGACAATCTTCATTTGCAGCAGTTCGGACTTCTTGAGGTCGTCCTGGAGAGAGTGAATCCTGTCCTTGCAAACGGCATGGTCGGCCGTAATCCTAGCCAGTTCGCTGCTCATCTTTTTGAAGTCGGCCAAGGCCGCCGCCTGCATGCACAAAGCACGACCCAAGCTCCCCGCCGCATATTCAATCCGTTCGGTCGGAGTGAGCGCTTGGGCAGTCAGCTCGGCTGGGAGATCCCAACTCATCAAGAGAGCCAAGGCAGCATCCGTCACGTGCGGGGCCAGTTCCCGATGTTCGGCAGGAGGGGGTGCGCAACTGACTTATAGCGCACGAACCAGCCGTCGGATACTTTCTTCAAGCGATCCGCTCGGGCCGCTCGGGTGGGCTCGACTCGGAGATAAGTCTTCGACCCGTCCTGATGAATGGAAGCGTCCATCCCCTCAAAGAAACCGCTTGGCACAACTGGTATGATGTTGCCAGCCGTCGAACCTTGCTCTTGAGTCCCCGATTGGACCGGGCGCTTGGCCTTACGAGCCTCGTCAACTTCAGCAGCCCGTTTTTGGCTCGCCGCACGACCTCTTTGCAACGGCTGCTCGTCCTCTTCACCCGAAGACTCGATAACCTCATAACCGACCTCCTGTTGAGGGGTCGGATCCTTCAATGCTGACGCCTGAGCGGCCCTCATCTTGTCAATCATCGCCAAACGGTCCATCTCAGTAGTCGATTCTCTGGATTTCGATTCGGGTCTGGAACTAGTAGCGGTCTGTTTTCCCTTCGATTTCACAGCAGTCCTCTTCTCTCCCGTGTCGGTGGCCACACCCTTCAAATTACCCAAAGGATAAAAAGCTGCAAGAAGCCGGACAGTAAGAGAAAACCAGACAATACGACCACCCGACCGAACGGTTAAAGAAAGGGAAAACGGATAAAGGCACTTACTGGGAACGCACGAAATCTCAACGTCACCTGTGCAGAGTCCGGCCTCGAACAGATTAGAATCCTCCACCAATTTGGGTACGGCACGTTCGTCTTTCCCCTTTTGCAGCAACTCAGTCAATTGGAGAACGAACGACTCTCTCAACTCAGGGACGAGCGAAGGGTTGGCTGAAACAACGAACTTGACCTGTTAGGTCGGACAAAAAAATAACCAAAAATTAGGAGAGACAAACGAGAAGAAGAAAGCATAAACTCACAAATCTTTGCAACGAATCTCGTCGGAACGGTTAAAAATTCGGAAGCTCCTGGGTCATCCGGAGACTTCCGTGTCTGCCAGCCGCGTCCGACCCAAAACCATGAAGATTTGAATTTGCTGATCGTCTCCGGGACTTTGGTGATTAGATCCCTAAATCTCGGATCCCTAACGGATATAGAGAACTGTCCGGATTTCTTCCTCGTTTCTTTCATCAGGAACAACGTGCGAATGTCATCCGGTGTCGGCATCTCCCAACCTTGTTGACTGAACAATACGAGCAGGTTAATGATTTTCAGCCAGGCGATCGGAGAAATCTCGCTAAAACCGACCCCCCAGTCTCTTAGGTATTCGGTTAGGATACGAGGGAGTGGGAAATGGACCCCGAAAGCGACCGAGCGCTCGAACACACCGATATAACTGGGTGGCGGGCAGTGAACCCGTTCCCGACTGTAGGGCACAAACATCTTGATGTCCCGAGGGAGCCGGATGGAGGTTCGGACCTTGACCACCTTATCATCCGTCATGTCGCTGGGAATATGAGCCAATCTGAAAACGCTCGTTGACGGCCATTCGTGGTACGGACGACGCCAGTATCCGCTTGGAACGGACACGACTGCTTGTTCTATCCGGTGATCCTCATCCGGACTCTCTGTTTGGAGTGGGAGTCTTATCCTTCCTGTTGTGTCACCTTGAAGGGCTTCCTCGTACTGCTCTTCATTGTAACTTTTGGACGTAGACGAAGCCTCGGCACTCATATTGACTATCAGATAGGAGAAATAAGGAAAAGGAGAGAAAAAATTACCTTCCAGCGGAAATTAGACCACAGGAAAAGAAAATTCGAACGGATGCACGAGTCGATCGGTTCGAAGGATAGAGAGAAGTCAGAGTGATTTTGAATGAGGAGAATAGTGTGGGATTTTTTGAAAGGGGGGAAGATATATTTATACTGTCCAAAAAGGGAATGAAGAGACACAATGATTAAGGTACGATACAACGTGTCAGACGAAGCGATTCGCATACGCCATAAATACAGGGGCTCCCCAATAAAAAGGCTACACGTGTGTAATAGAAGTTACTACGGAAACCGTCGAAGAAGGGGACACGCCTTTTGGGAGAAGGTAACCGTCACTGAAGATACGCGTCTGTTGGGATTGGAAGACGACCGGTCGGAAGAAGAGAAGGAGGCGGAGACGTTCGGTTCATCAGGAATATGCAGATCTGGGCATTACGACCGAAGACGGCACCTAACGTGATGCCCGAATCAGGGGGCCTTAATTGGTGGTACAGACCGAATGGATGGTAGTAAGAAAAGAAAGGGAACCGGATGCCCCCGGGATCGTACAGACCGAACAGATGAGAGAGAATAAGTGAGATCTGTTTAATCATTACGAGAGTCAGTCGTACTGCGTGCATTAAATGCGGGGATACAGGAAAATCTCTTATCCGACGGCAAAGGGAAAAATAGAGACGCGTGGCATGATCCGGACGGCTCTCAGATATTGGAAAAAGATTACCAAGTACAATTAGCATTAAATGTTGAATGACTAATATCTAAAAATATCCTGCAAAGGAAATGTAATAATCCCCAAGAGGGAAAGTAAAGTCCCTAAACTTCCTATAAAAGGGAGGAGAGAACATCATTTAATGCAATGAGTAAATGCTCTCATTAATTACTCAATAAGTCACGTATAGACTGAGCATTCGGACCATTAAAATAAAAACCGAATCACAAACATAAATACTATTCGTGCAGACCGAACAGAGTACACATCTTAGCGTACGGTTCGAACACATTGTTGGTCATTTTTAGACATCAACAATATTAATATGTGTTATTATATTAAAATAGTTTTTTGACAAAATGTACGAAATAAAAAATTATATTTTTTTGAGTATAAATAAGAAGATTATAATTATATATAATATAATATAATATATAAATATAAACTTAATTGATATAAATAAGACATATAACACAGAAAGCTCTATACTTAATTTTATGTATTTTTTAACAAACATAAAAGTTATACACACACACACACACACACACACACACATATATATATATATACTAGATTTGGTGACGCCGTGCACGCACGGCGGTCTAACACTCCGTGTAAAAGTACAACAAAAATTTATCCTAAGTTGTTGGCGTGCGAGCAGTATATACCTGGAAATTTGTCTAGGTATGTACCTGGACAAATTTTCCTTTCTCTTCTTTCAATCAGAGGAGTCAATTGTCATTACTATTATCTCTCCAATACATATAAGGCAACAACAAAAGGCCTTCTTTGATCGACACCTGTCATTTTCAGCCCAAAAATGCCTTTAGTTTTGCCCTGGATTTACAAGCCTGCTACTTTGCTTTATGCATAGTGGGGGAAAGTACGTTTCTGACGTTGTATACCAAGCACCAGAAATTTTGTTGAGACATAGAGTGTACGCCATATCTTTGTGATCCTTTCGCCCTGATATACTTAGAAGCATAACATTTGGGCCCTTTCACCCTTTTTCAGCTTTGGCACCATAAATGGAAGCAATGCCTGCAGAAACCATTACACTATGATCCATGGGCAAAATATATTTCTCTGATTTTAAGGTTTACCATTTTTTAACATTAAGAAATCAAATACACTGAATCTAAACAAAACAAGAACTATGGTTCGTTTCAACGAACTCATCTCCCTTATCCCACAACCAGTTAAGTTTAACTCAGTAGTGATTTTATCAATACTTTCTTTCCCTGAAAACCAACCAGATGCAGAATTTAGAGTGTAAACCTTTTTTTTTTTACTTCTTCTAGAGACAAAGATAACAAAGAAATATAACAATACCTCAAAAATTGGGAAGTAAACACATGTCAGTCTGTCATTTGCTTCTAGAAGCACTCTTTGACCTGGAGACTTCAAAGAAAATGTTAGAGCTCGTCTTACACAAATGAATTACAGCCACACTTCGTATTATCTAAATCTAAAGAAGCAGTCCCAGGAAGAATCCTTTTTAGGCTGGTGATCATACAAGACATCCTTACAAAGAAGAGAAAAGCATCACAATTATTTCTAAGGTAACAAAATAATGGGCTTACTTTGACCATGCAGTAGAGAAGGATCCTGGCTATTGCTAAAATGAAGTTGCAACACAAAGTTTGGACCATTGCACAAATGCCTGTTTGTGGTAGCTACTTCCTCTTCCCATATTTCAGCCAAGTCTTCCTCATTTACCTGAAAGTTATTGCTAGTATTAGAATAGCAACACTGTGTGCAATCTAGATGTGGAATCAAGACAAGTGATTACATCTTGCTCTTTAAATTATAGCCCAACAAACTATATTATATTAAAGAATAGAGAGCACTTAATAAAATCAGTAAATTTATAGGAATATTATACTCATCCCCTTCAGTTAAAACTAAATCAAACCTCGTGCTGTCGCCTTTTTTTTTGTGTAGTTTTCAAACTTGTTTATCAAGGTTTTAGAAGACACCACAAATCTGTAAGGTACTATTTG